TTTAATTAATTATTGTGTGTACTTACTGTATATTGAAAATGGAAGAAAAAACTATTTTTAAAGAAAAATAGGTTTTAATTAAAAGGAAAAGGCAACACGTTTACGTGCATGTTATATAGCGTACCGTACAGTACTTACGTCGTGTTTCCGCTTGACAATGAGAAGTTGCATGTGGTCACACTCAGGCTGATGCTCCATCCACTTCAGCGCAGTTTCAAGGCCTGCAGACGCTTCACTAGCTGATAGTCCCGTGTTTGTTTCAACTTCGACATTAAAGTCATCTTTTTCCTCGACACTTTCTTCTCTCACACTTTCAATAAGTTCATTTAAAATTTAGCGTATGACAAATCACACACCATCCATTCTGCTGTATCCTCAACATTAACTTCTGAACATAGAGGAATTTTCAATTTTTTTTTTTAAATTCCTCAAGTGACATGTCATCCTCATCTTCTGCTGTCGGATCATTTTCCTTTTCTTGAGCTACTTCTTCCTTTTTCCCCTTTTCCATTAGCTGATTCTGAAGCTGATTCTGAAATTCTGAAAGCAGTTCGGATAGTCGAAGTTCGGATAATTGGAGTTCTGCTGTATTAGGTTATTCAGAGGATAAAACTTGAAAAATCAACTGTAACCTCGCAGGTATTCGAATCCTGGATCTTCCAGTTTGCGAGGTGGATACGCTAACCTCTTACACTACGAGAATTTTTCAGACAAGTAAGCATAAGCAACAAGAACAACAACAACTACGAGAATTTCAATGGAGAATGCAAAAATTCGTTATAAGACGCTGTCAGATATATCAAAAATTAATTTAAATAATTGTTGTTAATATTATTATTCTAAATGGTGCCTAAGATCTCTCGAAAATATACTTGGTACCGTGCGAAACTGATAGAATGTATGAATTTAATACAGAAACACGATTAGAATTTTCTTGTGTAATTCGCATGAATAACTGTTTTTGTTTTTATTATGTTCAGGATCATGTTATTAAAGATTTGACTAAATAAATATTCTTGTAACATTTTTTTTTTTTTTTTTAGTTTACTCATGGTGTTTTTCATTATGGTCAATTGTTGTCATGGATTTTTAATTTAATTCCCGATAGGTTATCGAGTTCATATTTCATGCACACGATAAACAATAATGCAATATGGTGCAGTGACGTTTTCAAAATTAGACAATTTTCTGCACTTTTGGTTTCTAAATATGGTATAGTACGAAACAAAAGACGAAGTACTGGTTCGGTAATTCATTTTTGAAAAATTACTTTTCAATTGAATAATTTGATTAGTAACGCGTGATTGAATCTAAAGAAAAAAAGACTTAAGTTTTTATAAAATAAACTTTTATTTAAAACTCATCAAAAACTGATGAATTAAAAGAAGAATAAAAATGAAAAAGAGTAAATATCTGAAAGATTTCAGATTTTAAGTTACGTCCAAAGGGGCATTTTTTTAACGTTTTGTGTGTTATTTTTATTTATAAAATTCAGTTCAACAGTAATATCGCAAAATAATTTTAAAATGAGCATATCTTTATAATTTCCGATACAGAGGCTCGCTCACTGGAGATAAAACTGTTTTTTTTTTTCCTCCTCCCCCTTCGTAGAGTGTCGCGATTACTCGCTTTGAAATCGTTTAGCTTTTTAATTAAAAATTCGTTGAAGTGTTACAAAATATGAAATCGATAATAAAACAAATTTAAAATTCAAATTAGGGCTTCCACATGCCCATATTCTATGGAAGATTACGTTATTCAAATTTTGATGTCTCTAGGTACCGTTGTTTTATCACAGTGCGAGAAACATACATACATGAATGCAGATTCTTCGTTATTTAATTTCTTTAAATATAATACAAGGCGATAATATTTGGTGACATCAATTTGAAAAGTGATTCGCTGTTTATAGTTTTCAATGCAAAATACCAAAACTAAGTTAATTGTCCTTCAGGGCAAATTGCCTCTTTGGACTAAAAATAATTTATCGCACACATTAATGAGAACAACAGATTAAATAATTGCTTTTAAAAATTTATGTGCAGTTTTATATGAGGAATAATAGAAGCCTTGATTCCAAAAAACAATGAAATCTAATAATCTAATTATATTTTCAAAAACGTATAAGCCATTTTTGTTTATAAATTTATCAAGTGCGCCGCGCGCTTTTATTATTCGCAATATAAAAGTATAGATGAATTTTGTGTAGAGAACTATTTAATCTTCATCAAACTATTGATAAATTATTTTTGTTCTTTTAGTTTATTAATTTTTTATCGGTTTAAAAGTTTATTTAATAAAAACTTTATTATTCATTTATTTTAATTCTTAATTTTCGCGTCTTATTAGCATTTCATATTTCATTTGCTTTCCAGTTCTTATTCCATCAACTTTCCTCATTCTGCTCTCCAACAGCAAAGAAAAACGAAAGAGTTAAGAAAATTTAAACATCTAAACTAATAAAATGTTCTTTCTGTATAAATATTTTCATTGAAACATTCGAATATATTTTAGAATAATTAACTGAAAGTCGAAAGTATTGGAGGTAATTTGGACTCATTTGATTGTTCTCGAAGTGGATTTCGAGGATGCAGCAGGGAGGAAATTGTGGGAGGATATGATATGCAAAACCACACGGATGACGACATCTCAATGAACGGAGCAAACGAAGAATCCGGATTATTACGTCACGTAATTCCGAAGTGCCATTAGCAAGCGCTGGATGGCTTCTCAATTATATGCTTGGAATGTCGGGAATTACGCTAAGTTGCGGTTAACGTCCAACAGATACTTTCTGACTGTAAGCTAGATACCTAGAATTATGATTTAAAAATAAATGCTTGGAGATTTTTGTTAGAAGTTTTCAAGTTTCTATGTTTTCTGCAGTATGAAATATTTTCAAAGTGTACTTGTATTTTAATGCACAATTCCTTTATTTTAGATTAACGGAATTATAAGTGCCGATATTCGGTATCCCGAAAAGTATAAATACGCACGACGTTTTCTGTTTTAAAGATGTTCTGTTACTCGCTTCCTAATTAATCGCTTCCTTAATTACTACTAATTCATTTTAAATGACCAAAACTATATTTCAACGTCGAAAGTCGACTTCACTCTTAGCTTTTCTTTCTTTTCCTCTTTACACGATTTTGTTTAACTTCGTTTGTTTTTATCAAACCTTGAAATTAATTTTTGACGTTCTGCTACCGAGTTAGTTTTTGTTAACAATGCAGTGTTCCATAGGAATTTTTTGAAAATTCGATATACGCCGTTTCCTTCCTTAATGTTGACTTTTGTTCGCATATTTTTGCTTCAAACTGTTCCATTTTTCTAGATATTTTGTGATTGTAAAAAATCCTGGATTTTTGAGCCAAAATATTATTTTTTCATTTGTTAGCATTCCCCAAATTTTAAATGATGATAAGATAATATTTCTAAATGAAATGGAAATTTAATGAATGTAATGCACATATATGCCGCTGAAGATCGAAAGACCGTGCGGGGTTGGGAGAAGAGTTGGCGACACGCTTACTTTATTTTTACGTTGATTAGAATAAATATCTTTTCTATTTTTACACACTGTGATTTCCTTAAATTATTTTTCTCCATTCTATGGTCTATAAAGAATGCAAAAAATATTACATTAAAGTATAAAATAAAGAATTATATAATCACATTTATTGTTCGTTGAAACTCAGTTAGTGCCTTAATACAATTTTTGTATGAGAACCGCGCTTCATGAATTTAATTTTAGTGTAATATGACACTATTACAATAATTTAATTTTTTTTTTTTATTTATGGCTTAAGTACTTTTCGAGATTCGTGATGCAGATTTTTTTCCGTATCTCTTGTTAATGTGGTTTTAATAAACTCATTTAACTTTATAGCGATAGTTTCTTAAACAACACATTTAAAATTAGTTTAGTACATGTTATGCTATTCAAAAAATTCAAATACAGTTCAGCTCAAGAAAAGCTGCTGCTGAAAACGGATACATTGCTTGTACCCCAAATAACTCTGTTGTGTATATGTTTATCATAGACCTTTTTCCTTGATATTATGTAAAAATTATAGACTAATTTCATATTTCTGAAAAGAAGAATATGATTAATTTAGATGTTAAAGTAATCAGGAGATTGTGAACGTATGAAAATATATTTAAGATTCAATAAATTAACAATTTATTTACATCATAGTCTCCACATCCTGATAAGTAATCCATATCAGAATTCAGCCCTCCCCACTCACCATTAAGACCTGCAGAGCTGTACAATATTTAATATAAGGTAGTGTGATGCTTTTAAGAATTCAGGAAAAGAAAATAAATCAATTTACAATCAAATTCACTTTCGAGACACATAAAACCATCAACAGCATGTAATGTTACCATATCAGGAGAAGCAGGTATCGTACCTGCTACTCCGCTATTTGCGTAATGCGGTCTATATAACCATTATCTAAATGAATAGTAATGGACAAATACATTAGCTTTTCTTCCCATTATTTCATCTGATTAATATAAGGTAAGTCGGTTTCATACCATTTGGAGTGTATATCAGTTAGCAAATGAAGCTGAATACTAAATGAAAAAAATAAATAAAATACTAAATTACTACAAGATGAATTCTAAATTAGAAAAAAAATTGATTAATTAACTCCAATTTTTTACTCACAATAGCAGCATATCAATCAGCAGGGTATTCATTGCAAAAATATTATCAGAAGTTTCTGTAATTTACTTAATTAAATAATTCATTTTAATGGGGATGGATAAACCCTAAATCAATTCTTTACATCTTTTAATCTTCTCATAATCTCATCTCGTTTGCCGACCCAGCACCGTAAGTTGGAGTTGTGTCAACCTTTCATTTACAAGTTCATGATTCGCACTCTATTCTAGCCAAAGTTCAATAGTACTATGATAAAGATAAAATTTGTTTCTTTCCAAATTAATTTGGATTCATGAATAATAAAAAGGTAAGGAAGTCATACTTAAAAATGCTTTTTATTAAAAATATGAATTTTTTAAGCTAATACAATACCAAAATATTAATTATTTTTTAATCATTTGAAAAATCTTTACTTCATGTAAATCATCACATAATATACAGATATTTTATATCACAGTTTCCAGCTATTCATTTAAAAATGTATCCTAATTTGTCATTTTAAATAAACATTTAATTTTATATGTTTTAAAGTTTTAAAAGCAAATATTTCTTTCAAACCTAATTCTTAATCTGTATGCATAACATAAGGGAATATTTTCTTTAATACTTTTTTTTGGTTACATTCAAGGTAGTTCGCGAACCTTAGAATGTATAAGTTATTTAATAAAATTAAAATTCACATTTTCATGATTTTTAAATAATTAGGATAATTAAACATAAAATCGAAAAAGTTATTTTTTCGAATAAACTTTAAACAATATTAATTCAGACATTTTTTTCAACAACATTTCAAAACTCTCAGCAGACTGCAAATTTTTAAGCATAATTTTTAACCAAATACATAACTTATTAGAAAATAAATACGTTTAAAATAAATTTATTACTTTAATTATTATAAATTTTGTCATTTAAAATCATTCTCTTCAGAATTTCCGTTCATTATCCCCTTAATTACAAGCGAATAAAAATGCAAATTTCATATTACTATAAATAAATAAACTGTTAAATTATAATGCGCTAAAATAAACATATAATTAAAAGCTTAATACTCTTTTACAATTTTATGCACAAATAAATTCTGAAGAAAAAATTTATTATAAAAATGCATGCATTTAAATTCACGAATTTCTGTATCTGAATTAATAAATCTCCTTATTCATTTCTTCTAAGCACAATCAAAAATCTATTGAAGGAACTTTTAATAAACTAATTCTACTTACTTTGTCAGAGAAAACAGAGTTACACATAGTGGAAAATACAAAAACTAGGTTAACTTGAATTATATGACATAAGTATTAAAATCACCACGATTTAAGAACAAATATAATCAAAAATGTCATCCTGTTAACTGAATAAAACATCATAAATCATGGCATATTCTATCTGAACTTTACATCTCGCAACTCGAGACAGCAGATTTACAGTGAGAAATCATTGAAAAATGATTCCCAATATCAGAAAAAATTTATATTTAACATTCTAACTATATGCTAATAATAATAATAATGAAGATGATAGATATATAGCGCATAGGCAAGTAATTTTAATGCCATCTAATTTTGTCATGGAAGACTTTACATTTATCTTAAAGAAGACTGTTTCAGGCATATTATAAAATATGGGTTAGAATCTTTTGAAATTTCACCTCATTGCTGTCAATTCAATATCACAATAACAAGTACTTGTTTTAATTCTAAATTGATTTATAGTCATCTAATGAACGCTTGCCCAGCAATCTTTCTCCGTCTTTCAACTCTCTTGCAAAATCGTGAACCAAGTCCCTGAAATGCATGGGATCTAAATTTTTGCATAATAAATAAAGAACAAACCAGTCTCCTAAATTTGCCCTTGACATAATGATATGCAAGTCCTTTTTATCTGCAATTCTAGACCTTGATCTTAGCATTATAAAACGTGAAGCAGGCCAAAAAATAACCATCAGTCTGTAAACTAAAATCAAAGCCGATAGAACAGCTAGTATAACAAACCAAAACCAAAGGAAGATATAAATCTTTTCGTTCAAAATGTTCAACGGAAGTATGCATAGTGCATCGTATCGCTGGACGTCTCCAGAAGGACCGTATCGATGGAAAGTGCATTTGGTCATCCTTGGAAATACTTTTACCATGGGATCAGTCCTATACTCTTGGTCGATGTCAGTAAATTTCAGAACTTCCACCCCATATCGACTGAATTCTCCACCCAGGAATGTGTCAATAAGATAAATTTGACCAATAACATTAATAAAGTTAAGAATTTCACAGAACGTGAAGCATGTTACGTAAGTAGAATGATAACGCAAATGAGTTTTCAGATATCCAAGAAGAAGGTTTTTATTTAACTCTTTTTCATCTGGTTTCAAGATAGGACTGTTGAGACCCATAACCAGCGTCTTAATAGTGCCTCCTTCCCAAGTCTTCCACAAGTATCTTGGAATGTAGAAAAAAATCGCTTGTAGAAATAACACAAAACAAACCCATTGGTAGTACGAATGATATTTCCTGGTTTCTCCAGGTGTGAATCTGTCAATTCCAGGATGTGGTACTTCTACACCAACTTTTTTATTCCATGCATCAGGTAAAGTAAACGTAGTATGTATCCAACAAAAAGTCTCCAACACATTTTCTGGCACGTCGTCATTTTGGATGCAATCTATAGGATCTCCGAAATATTGGCGGCAGGTGACGAGGATGCTAAATGCTACTAGAACTAGAACTGTGAATTTGTAATGGAGTCTGAATATGTTATTATCGACACAGATTCCATCGAGTTTTATGAGTCCTCTCAAAGAACCGAAGACATCGAACATTTTGACTGCAAGTGCCGGTTTGAAATAGACCGAAAGGATCTATAAGTTATCACTCCTTTAAAAAAAACTGTCTAGTTCAGCAAAGAGGAAGCATTTTCCCATCCAAGGCAAGGTCGTTTCTTAAACAATACTTTCCCAGAGAACTGCTGCAGACATGATCGCATATCAGAAGCAAGACACAACACTGAAAACAATGAATCTGCACAGAGGAATGAAGCGGAGAATTTGTATTCCCTTTTTTTTTTTTTTTTTTTTTTGTTATTTCTACTCCCTTCTCCTCTGGTGGATGCTAAATCATTTTCATGTTCACGACAGCGAACGCATTTGTCCGTTGATTCGGGTTCGAGTAGGGGAGGGGGATGGGCGAGAGGAAGAATAGTCTGATGTCATCCACTGGCGGGAAGTGGTATCGGAAGGTAAGTTAGCTGCGTGATGAAGCTTGAAAACATTCTCATTAGAGACATTCCATTTAATGTGTGGCGCACAATAATTTACACTGAAATAGATCTTTGTACTTCTTCAAGGTAACAGGAACATAAACGATTATTCTCTTGTTTTTTGGGCTGAATTTTTTATAAATATTTCCGTGATTCCTTTTTTATAAATAAATAAAATTTTTATCATGACTCTTCTTTCAAGAAACAATTATTTATTTTCCCATTTTCTATTTCTTCTTGGATTTTTGAAACCTCTTCGAGGTATATGTATATTGTTTCAAGTTCATGCTAAAATCGTATGTATATTGTTTCAAGTTCATGCTAAAATCGTGTCCGCGATAAATTGAATAATTGCTGTTGCCTGTAGAATGAATTATAGAGTTTTCCTTTATCTTCAATAAACATTTTTATTTAACATAGCATAAATTATTCGTCTATAAAAATCATTTTGCTCAGATTTATTAAAAATATATTGTAGCAGTGTGTATTTTCTGTTTTGAGATTCATGCATATAGATTTCCAATGTACTATAATTGATCAACTACGAAACTTCAGATTCTAATCTTATCATACGCTACCGTCTGCAGCCAAAATAAAATCTGATGTTTATGGTATAGCAACGTGTAAACTTAAATTCTTTTCTTTGTATTTGTTTTTAATTTTGATCAAACTCTATTTTTATACAGGTTTATAATACTTCCCCTTCCCAAAATGCCAAAATAAACAAAGATTTTAAATTTGAATTTGTTTTTGAATTGCGTTTTAATTTTTATCAATAGTAAAGATTTAGTTATTTTATATTTATTTAAGCAAAATATTTATATAGTTTTTCATATATTTCATTTTAAAAAGTTTTTTAAAGGTTTTTAATTAAAACTTCTTTTTAGTTAGATTGTTCCGTTAGATTGCAATCAGACTTTCCGTTAGATTGCAATCAGACTTTCCGTTAGATTGGCAATATGAAGTTTTCAGATTGTAATTTGTTTTACTTTCAGTTTATAGGGGGGAAAGTTCCAAGTGCCCACTTTTTTTCAGAATTTAAAATTGCAAAAATCTGAAGAAAGAAAATTTTGAATTACAAATAGAGATATTAGAAACAAATATTTCATCACTCTTGAAAGCTGAAGAAATTATTTATCGAAATGCTCTGCTATCATATTCTAATTCTGATCAAGTTTTAACATAAGAAACAAAAAAAAAGACAAGGAAAACTTGGATGAGAATTTAATATAGTCATTCCGATTTAAATTTATATTTATCACCTAAAACTGTCGCTTGCTTTGTCGTATTCAAACGAACGAACGTTCTCTTCAGAAAAATAGTTTTTTCCCTCTTATGACTTGTGGCCCATTGATTAAACTCGAAGAACACTTATAGTCTGCCCTGCGATCGATTACTTGAGAACGGTTCATTGGATTCATTGGATGAGTATTTTTATGGTTTTCTCCCCGTGTAATGTAAATACGAATCAATTTCTCTTAGAAAATCTTCTACGAAGATGTCCCTTTATTTATGCAGAGTTTTTGTATGCTTTGTCGTATTCAAACAAACGAGCGTTCTCTTCAGAAAAATAGTTTTTTCCCCTTTATGAGATTATTTTTCAATTTTCATAGCTTCTAGCATCAACAAGGATGTCTATTTTAATTTTTTAATGCTGATAAATAGACGTAAATTTCAGAATCTCACGAAATATTGATCTGAATTTTTATTCTTTTGCACCCATTATATCTATCTACCAAATATTTTAATCTCCCATACTGTTATTACTGTTTGTATTGTCTACTTTTATCGATCAAAATCTGTAGTTGCTTTAAGATTTAGTTGATAAAAAATGAAAAAAGTAAAAAACATGGTATTCAAACTACCTCTGCATTTTAAGGCCTTTATATTTGGGTGCCTTTTTTAACATATTCATATTCTTAAATTTCTTCTTTAATTTTCTTATGCACTTAAATATTGCGACTACTGGATCCACTTTTTTAAAGGTGCAAATTTTATTGCTAAATCCTGATAAATTTATTCTTGAAGAATAATTTCTTTCCCCCACACAAAAAAATTCTACTTTATCTTTGTAAATCATTTCTTGAATAAATAAATAAAAAAAGAAACAAGTACTTGAAATATCCAAAGAAAAAAATATAAGAAAGAGTTGTTAAAATCTAGAATATCAGTAAAGTGAAAAAAGATGAAAAAGAATTTATGCATTTAAAAATTTCTCGTCGAAAAGAAATGATTTTAAATACATTCGGAGCTCACTTGGAAAGAAGAAGCTGTTGTCATTTTACATATTCCAAATTTGGTAACAGAATTTGTGCCGTCTGTTCTGCAGACCGCTGTCTTTGTCCTTGTAGACGTAACACGCAGATTTCGAAAACATTTCATGTATTGTTCGCATTGCTCTCAAATGCCGTTTTTATGCTAGTAATTTAACGGGGCATGTTTTGTAGTTTCGCCGAAAAACTTCTCCATTGCGTGTTGTGACACTATACATTATTTAACGCCTCTCAGCAAACTGAACTTTTATTGTTTGTGGTTTTAGCTTTGTTATGTATCTTAATATTACTTAATTCATGAACATGAGGTCACATAAATAAAAAAAATCAGATGAATCTGTATCAAAATGCGTAAAATAGGACTTAATAAAATCCTTTATTAATTATAATAATTCTACAAACCCTCTTTAAATTATCAGTTGTCTGTATAATATTAATATATTTTTAATTATATCAATTAGATACCTTAATACTATTTAATACTAAACTAAAATACTACTTTAGTTTAATACTAAACTAAAATACTACTTTAGTTTAATACTAAACTAAAATCAAGATTTAAATTATTAAGATATACACTTGTTGTTTTCCATCATTGAATAAGGTTAAAAATAATTAATCATTAAAACTATACTTGTTTAATCTCCATGTGATTTAAGTGAATTCTAATCTTTGCATTTAACAGATAATTTTCACAGCAGATAATTTTCAAACCCTAACCAATCCAGCCGCAGTTACCGCGGTTTCTAGCCCACGCTTAAAGACCTAAAATCGTTCAATAAAACACAAATGGGCGACAGGTGGACCTTTAAAGGAATAAACAGTTTTCTGGGTAGTTGCAATACCTATCTTTCTAGACTAAAAATTCTCTCGATATTTAAACTGCATCCCATTTGCATTCTGGTGAAGGCTGATGGAATGAATAGAAGATACAGGAAAGTATTAACATAATAACATGTTAGCTAAAGTAAACCTTACATGTTAAAATTGTAGTTAAAATTTGAAAGGTAAATTAAAGATATTATGTCCCGTTGAATGGCAATAGATTAACAAATGGCTGTCTACGAGGCCAATTGGAAATTAAACGCACTGAAATTTTTTACTTCGAGCAATAGTAATTGACAGTTCCTGTATGTGATAAATAAAAGGTAGCTTATTATAATGACACAAAAATTTTGAGACTACTCTAAAGCCATTTTAAGGTCAAAATGCTAATAGTTCAAATACTGTACTCAAATCTAAAGCATTTGCAAATTGTCCTAACATTACCAGGTACATTTACTATAAAACATGATAGTTTTATGACAAATGTACCTGGTCTGTCTGACTAAGGGTAATGACATCTCCGTAGAAGACTTCCTAAGTGAAACTGATTCCAATTCTCAATACACATATGGGGGGGACTCAAAAATACTTATGCAACCAACCCGTTCATCAAGATTTGAACGCAAGCCAAACTGCCAATGTTATCCATTCGGCAGCCAGTTCTCAGCAGTATAGCATAAAAAAATGTATTGATTATATAAATTAAAGATCATAATTATTAGAACAAATACATTCCGTAGCAATAAGGGTCATATAAACTCAAAAAAGAACAAAATTCTGCCTATCTTTATTATATATGTCTGTTCTAAAGGACTTTCTATGAACAGTCAGCTTCAAATATAATTTTAAACACAGAATTCATTGTAATTTAAAGCTGCATAGATTTTTCAAAACATAATATCTCTCTTTGGGATGAGATTAACTACTATTTAAAACTTCAGATTTTTTTGAGAATTTCAATAAAATTCTAAATATTAGAAATTGAAATCACATTTACTAGCTAGCAAAAAATTACGTGAATGCAGGTCCCAAAAGAGAGACATCTGTGAATAAAACTCTTTTAAAGAGAAAAGCCTTAAAAGAAAAAAATTATCATCTTCAATATTCCAAAATTAGGCCTCATTAATGCATTTTTGGTCATCAACGGCTGAGTGGTAAAATCGCTGATCATTGGTAGTTCCGACCTAAATTCGAGGGCTGACTGCATGGGCGTTTTTATGGTTTCCTCATGTGTATACGAGCCAGTTTCCCTTAGAAAGCCCTCCTCGCTTCCGTTAGGCAGATAGCCCTAGTGTCCTGTGCCATAATAAACTGAATCAAACCATTAATGCATTTTAAGCTTAAATGATTTACAAGTCTTAGGGGAAAAAAAGTCATATAATATATACGACAGACATATTTCGCTGACGCTAAAACATCTTTAGAGAAAGCTTTCCAAATTTTTTGGGCTTTTTATTTAGTTTATGCTATTTTATCATTCATCATACATAAAACTTAGCAAGTGCAACCTTCGCATGAAAAGTCTCACTGGTCAGAATGGTTTTTGATGTTTCTATATTTGTTTTTAAATTTCTATATTTTGTTTCAAGAAATATTTTTGATGCTGATTTCAGAAATATAAATATTTTTCCCTGCCACGTTATAAGGTATTTCTGCAGTCATCTTAGCATGCCTTCGTGGCGTAGGCGTAGTAGTCAGCACGCTCGACGCGTATTCGAGAGGTCCGTGGTTCGAGTCCCGGCGAGGGCATTGCTCATTTTTCAAGACTTTTGCTTCAAAACAAAGCTAATGTCTCTACAGTAGCGCCCGAACTAAAAAAGGTAGTGAATGATGATTCTTCACCACCAGGATTTGGCGATTAGATCCCCAAAAATCCCAGTCGCCTTTTAAAAGGCGGAGTATATAAAGTATTTTCTTTTTTTCTAAGGTATTTCTCCCGCCTTCTCAGAATGTCTTCGTGGTACATTGCAAAATTTTTTTTGTTGAATGATTTATATGGAAAATATTCATTTGGGGTTAATTTTCATTATAATAGATGGCAACATTTTATTTAGAATGGTTTAATCCCGTGACTCTTTTAAATTTAATTTTTTTGGCCTTAAATTAATCGTTTGCCAAGTCTCAATTAGTTATTTTCAAGTAGTGCTTTTAATTAGTATTTAATGAAGTATGGCTTCTCGTAAATGCATGAATGATGACGGTATATTCTGTTATACTTGTGGAAATTATGCACCAGTAAAACAAAGGCAAAATATTACAGATTTTGTTAAAAATGCACACTTAGTGTATTTTGGATTTAAATTAGACGAGCGAGACAAGCCGTGGGATCCACATAAAGTGTGTCAAACTTGTGTTGAAGCTTTGTGCCTTTGGAGTAAAAGTAAGAAAATTCAATACCTTTTGCAATTCCAATGCTGTGGAGAGAACAAAAGAATTATTACGATGATCGATATTTTGAATATTAGGGAACAGGAAACATTCAGATTACAAAATTATTGTTGAAGACAAAAATTAAGATTGCTTGGATGCAACTTGAGTATTAAATTACACTTTTTACACACACGCGCATAGATTACTTTCCAGATAATCTAGGAAATGTCAGTGAAGAACAAAGTGAACGATTTTAACAGGATATAAAAGACATGAAAATACGGTACGAAGGAAAGTGGAATAAAAACACGATGGTAGACTATTACTGGATGTTGATACCTAGTCAAGAAAGCAAAATCAGGCGATAATCAACCAAAAGTAAATTCTTGCCTTGAATAGAATTAATACCTTAAAGCTAATGCTCAGCTTTAACACATTCAGCTAATTTTATAACATGTATTGTATAAGAGCAATATGTGGAAGTATAGTTTTATGTTTTTTATATTCGATTATATGTTTTATGTAATATACTAAATCTATTAATATATTTATAAATTTATTATATACTTTAAAAACATATTAAATATATTTTTCCTGTTGTAAAATTTATTTATAACTTGTATCCCTAAAATAAATTCATTAATATGAGGTAAAATAGAAGTATTTGTGAAAATATAAAGCTGTCAATACGCAAAAAATGTCAATACGCGTGATACAGAAATTCGGATTCCATTTTTGAAATCAGCACAGAAAAAATACATAAACTTACCCATTAGACTTAAAACATCATTTATTATTATTATTATTATTATTATTATTATTATTATTATGAAATGCAGATTAGTGTTACCTTCCACATGGTCTGACAAACAGCCAGTTTCCAGAACAATGCTATTCGACGCCATCTGTCAAATTATAACTGTTTAACAAGCTAAGCGATTTAAAAACAATGAATGAGCTTCTCAATAATTTAAACCTCCTTAGAGCTTTCCTAACATTTTCGGGCCATTGTCTTACGTTACTTTACGTTATGATACTATGCAGTTACCATTTATATACTTCAGCAAATGTTACGACTATGCGAAGCACAGAATGTTAAATTTACCTTCCATGCCAGTTTCCAGATGCTGCCATACAGAGTAGCTTAAGATCTCTAATTTCTCCTCTAAATAAATAAGTCAGCAGCTAATTACCAGAATGAACAGTTTAAAAATATAAACACATTTCTAAAGGATTTGAGTTTTCATTTTATTTTTAGTCCAAAGAGCGTTAGCCCAGAAGGGCTATTAATTTCGTTTTGGCATTTTACGTTGATTCACTATAAACAGGGAATAACTTTTTAAATTGTTGTGAGCATAAAGAAATTAAATAACGAAGAACCTGCATAAATGTATGTATGTTTCTCGCACTGTGATAAAACAACGGTACCTAGAGCCATCAAATTTTGAATAACGTACCCCTCTACCCGAATATAAGCATCTGGAAATCCAAATTTAAAATTTGGAATTTGCTTTATTATCTATTTCATATTTTGTAAAGCATTTATGAATTTTTGATTAAGAAACTCAACCATTTCAAAGCGAGCAATGGCAACACTGTATGGGGGGCAAACATTTTTATCTCCAGCGTGCGAGACTGTCTATCGGTAATTCTAAAGATATGCTCTTTTAAATATTTTGTGATATAGCTGTTGAATCGAATTTTATGGCTTAAAGGCGAAGAACATAATATTTAATAAATAAAGGTAACACGCAAAACGTTAAAAAAACGCCCCTTTGGGCGTAATATAAAATCTGAAAACTTTCAGAATTTTTTTATTTATTTTTATTTTTATTTTATTTGATAATGGATTTAACTGATATAAAAATTTCATAAATCCATTGACATTGATTATGACGTTCCATTCCCAAATATTTGAAAAAAAAAACTGGATTTCTACCAAAAATAATAAAATTAAATTTGCACGAAACAAGCTTCTGTAACCATAACTAGCTGCAGGCTTTGCATAATAGCTTTGTTTGAATTGATTTCCAATTCGAAACAGATTAAAATATGAATTCCACCTTTATAAAAATCGATTGCGAGAATTCCATCTTTCTAAAAATCGTTCTTTTACATACGTATTTTCAGGGGCCTGCTTTATACAACATCAAGCGGGGCCATGCGACCCAAACAACCACTTTTAGGATGCTCTTCAAATCCTTCTAAAATATGTTGACCTTCTAAAATATTTAAAAGAAGTAAATTTTTCAATAAATTTTTTAATTTAATTTTTAGAAACTCAAAAAGTGCTAGTAAGAACAAAATTTTAAATAGATTTTAATAATAAAAAATTTTATTTTAGTTTTTATGACTTTCTTATTGATAAACGATTTAATTCCATTATTTTGAATTTATGTCTTAATTTAATTTTGGTTAATTATACGTGATGTATTTTAATGTATAAATCTTACGTATTTTAATTGATACACAATAAAATGGGTGAGAGCTTTTAGGTTTCCTTTTTCTAGGGAAAAAAAAAAAAATGTTTTAAATTACTGTTTATATAAATTTACATTTTATTCAATACGTAATAAACTAAAACCATAGAGAGGAACATGTAGAAAAGTGAAATGTATTTTTTGTTTAAATGTAGCACTAAATGAACTATAATAAATTCTTAGGTTATTTCGCAAAATGTTTTATGCATAATTCCAATCCATGACATTACATTGAAATGAAAATTACATGGACATTACATTGAAAAGAATTAGAAAATGAGGAGCCTCTATATGTAATTATACTCCAGTTTTCCTCTATTTCTAAATCAGAACTTGTATTATCGCCAGCTTATTATTTAATATCAGATCGAGGAAATGTTACTGCTGATAATAATAATAAATTACTGTATATGCATAATCTATTTTCATTACTAAAAAATTATGTGATGACCTGCAAACGATTCTTTTTAAATATATCAGTACATAAATTATAATACAGATGTTATAATTCGTTCTATAAAAAATACAGGCATAGATTAAATCTTTTAAAAATGATTGCTCCTATATGTCGCTTCAGCCAATGAGAGAAAACATCGTGAAAGGTCACCTTTTCTGGCATCCCCTCATTAAACTAGCCGCATCCTGTGATCATGTACTTTTTAGCTGTGATTTTTTTTAAATTTCTTTTTCTCTCTCCCTTTTCTTTCTTCAGTTTCAAAAGGGCAAGGTCGCTTGGTCAAAATCTATCACTCCAATTAACGGTACGAAGTGAGATAATTAACCTCCATTGTTTCGCTTGTTCTTGCATGAGAAATTGTCTAGGACATTCAAGGAATATTACTGCAGAGAAACAGGACTTAAGAACTTGGATTTAAGTTTTATGCAAATTGAAAAAGTGCATGACATAATGATACAGTTATAAATAATGCATTTAAACATTTCTTTCAAGGCTTTCACATGGCAATAAATATCTCTAATGTAATCCCAAGCAATAAAGGAGCATTAGCCATTTTCGTCAAAATTAAGTGCGTCTTTTTGAATCGAGACTTCTGTCTCATATTTTTTTTCGCACAGACTTGTATGGCAAATATGATTCCGAGTTCAAATGCAAATACAATCATCTTCTGATTTAATGGATTAACGAGATTGTGGATAAACCAAGATATGTCCTGAAAAAAAGATTAGATTTGCTTATTGTGGAAAGATGGAAAAATTACAATCATAAATCATCAATATCAAAATAAATCGATCTGTGGGAACTGTATTTTCTCACAGATCTCTTTTTTTTTTTTTTTTTTTTTTTTTTTTTATGTTGACCATTTGAGAATGTAATTTTTGATCGTTCGACAATAAATAAATCTCTTATTTTTAAAGAAAAAGAAAATTGTTTGGGATATCAGCAATGACAGTGGGAGATGTCATAGTATATGGAAAATATTTCTATCTATAACAGTAGGTAAGTTAAATTTGCCTAATCGAGAAAATATATAAACATTGTTAAATCCTCTGTTAATAATAAAAATTTCTAACTGATTTTCTTTGTGAGTTTGAATTCAGTCATATTGTTCAAGTTCTGTAGTAAATACTACTTGTTCTTTAATGCCATTTGTAACTTAACTTCTTCATTTCTAATGATGTTTATTTTTCTATTATTTACATTGTGTTCTTTTTGAATTTTACTCGAATTTGAATTAAATGACATTATTCAAGTTCTGTTGTAAATATTCTTTAGTGCCATTTATACCTTACTTTCTCCATTTGTAACGATGTTTTTTTCTTTTCTATCTGAGTAGAATGGTGCATCATTGGAGTACCTCGTGCAGTGACGTTATTTTCATAGAAAAATGTTTATTTTCAAATATATAAACAGAAATAAAAATTTAAAGTTTGGAAATATATAGGAAAAGTCTGATAAATAAAGGGAAAAAATTCATAAAAATTCACAAGTCCAGAGAGTAATCAAAATTATCTAACAGTAATCATAAATATCGAACTGGTGGCAGATGATAAAAATGAGAAAAATGCAAGAACAGGCAGTTACGATAGAATAGGGCACATAATAAAAATTTAACATATAAAAAATAAACATATCATAAACTGACATCTGAAAGTATTCAAAGTTCCAGCATAAATTTTAAAATATAAACATATCGAAAAATTAATGCAGAAAAGGAGTCGAAGGTGCAAAAAGAGCCTAGTTTCCATTTATAGTAGATAAATTTCCACTAAAAGTCTCTTCGTGTATGTTAAAAAAGACAAAATTTCGTTTATGATAGTGGGTGCAGCATGAACTTCATCTATTCGATTCGTGATTATTTTAATTATACCAAAGATAGAAAGTTCACTTAAGATTTTGTTTATTTCACGAATAACCTGCAAGAAGTCCTCAAAAGTAGAGATGTTATTTGTAGAACGTTTACTCTGACTTCTAGTGGTGGGTTTGGCTGCTCTGGGAAGTGGTGGAAACTGAGTATTGATATTTGTTCGTGTTTCCTATCATTATTATGTGACACAGAAAGATTATTTTGACCGATAGTATCACTTTGTGTTCTGGGGGGGAGGTAAACTTCCACCTCGCATTTCTGAATGCGTGCTGACATTCCGTTTCTTAATATTTGCGTACTTCTTCGTATTACTTGGGGCTTTAGGACAAAAACGAAAGCTGGCTGCCACAGTAGATACAAGTCGGTTTTTCAACAAAATTTGCTTCACAGTCAGAAGTCTGAACATTTAACACACATTGGAGAAAGTTTACACTACTCCGAAGAATGGTAGAAATGTTGACAGTTTTGACATTCAGCAATACCGCCTTTGTAAGGTTCTACTTTAACATCAAAGCATAACAAGTTATAAGTATCATATATTTTTACAGCGCCCTCAACATTGGATAATTGCACCTGAAATAGAGGTATGGTACGCGAGTTTTGAATCTGAACATTTGGTTCACTTTTATGAATTTTTCTTATCTTATTTACAGTATATTCTTTTTCATTTTTGTTTACTCCAGTGTGAGCTGAATGACGTTTTTGAAGTTTTCTTGTAAATATTGTTCTTTAATGCAATAACAACTCAATTCCTTCATTTTGAAGACTGATTGTTCTACCGATGACAATGCGTACTTTCGTTTCGAATACCGATTAAATTTATCTAACAAAATGAAATTATTCCTCAGATTAAACTTTTTCAAATTACAGCTAAATTACTGATAATATTTTCGTGCTAATTATAATGTTTTTTATTCTTCTTTCATGTGTTCTTATAACTTAATTAATCGTGATTTTGAATGAATAAATTAATTAATAGAGATTTTTAATTAACCATGGATTTTCCGCTGTTATCCCCTCAAATCCCGAGAATTTCCTATAAAAAAAAGAATTTACATAAAAAAGCGCTTACAATCAATAAACTTCAGAATTAGCGTTACCACAGTGATCCGTACGAAGTCATCCTTATCAAACACTTCATTTAGAAAACGGATATAATGATTCGTTAAGCACATCTTCCACTTGCACCAATAAGAAAACTGAAACCGGCTCTCAATCCGTGAAATTGAGCGTTTTTTATTTTAACTTTAATCATGGCAAAGCGAATGTAACAAGCATATCGATTCTTTTACACATGTTTAATGTTAAAAGCATAATTTCATGAATTAGTTCTTCAGTTCCTCATTAGTAACAAACGCAGCATGCAGTTTTTCGAAATAACACCATCAATTATTCATGATGAATAGTAATGAAGAAATTGCTTGCAAAAATGCAAATTTCTTGGAAAGTGTCTTTCTCATTCTGATTTTTAAAAAAAATGGAATGACAAAAATTACGGACTTGTTAAACATTGTAACTAAGACATCTTTCTCAGCAGTTGGCTATTCTGCAAAATAATAAATAATAACAACAATAATAAATTTTATTTAGCATACTATAGTTTGACACATTGTGCTTTTTGTAAACCTTTTTTTAAAGAAAGTTTATAAATTAAAAAAAAAAAAAAAAAAATTATTATACGTATAAGTGAAGAATTTTCTCAATGCTTTCGCAGCAAAGATCTGTGCATGTCTATATATATATAGTTTACAAGCATGTGACAAATTATATTGAATTATAATTTTATGTATATGATACATCATTTTATATTTCCTAATCAGAGTAAAATTTATTTTCATTCATTTTTTATATTGACTGACAAATTTTGAATAAAAAAAGAGAAGATTCAAATATTTGCAAATATGGCCGACTTAACGTATTTTTTTCTTATTCTTGAAAAGCTTAATCTTAATATAAATTACACATCAGAGAGATGAGCGGTGGTATGCAAGGTAAAAGCAAGAGTATCTTGTGCTCAAGATGAAAGCTTGAGTCAGAAGTGATTTGAATTGGGGTTCTCAGTTTTCTTATTGGCTGTCAAAAATGTTTATGCTCCAAGTGAAATCTTATTCGCCAAAATATTTATGTAAATACTTGATTTACTAGCTTTATGTAAGAATCGTATGACATGGATTGATTTTGAAATAAACGCAGTTTAGAGAGATTTCTTATAAGCAATACTATTTTTAAGACAGAATAGGGAAACAACTAAATTAAAGAGGAAAGCTAAGGTATGAATGAAAATTAAAATTAGAATAATGCTTTAAATATTTTTTACCTTATATATATATATATACATCAATATTATTTACTTTTAAGTTTTAAATAGTTTGTTTGACAAAAGTATACTAAAAATTACCGGTAAATCGATTTTAATTAAAAATTTTAGCGAATATCGAAAATTTAAAAAATAGATAAATTTACAATTACTAATGAAAACCATTCTGCATATATTTTACTTTATATTGCATATTATGACAACCATAACTATTCTTACGCCATTTAAAAAATGAAGATATTTTGATTGCAAGCGTTCAACAAGTAAAAGAAATAAATTTTCATGCAATACTGGAATATTTCAACCAAGTATCTTCTCAAGAAAAGAAAAAAGAAATGCGTAAATATGTAATGGTAACATTTAAACAACATTAAGTTTTGCCCTTGAAAAGAAAAATGTAGGAAAAACTATACATATATAGCCTAAGCTACATCAAAAGCAAGCAAATACGCAGAAGGGCAGTTTTCCGAGTACAAAGGTTTCAAACAAGTGTTGTTCACACACACACACAAAAAAAAAAAAAAAAAAAAAAAAAAAAAAAATCAAGTAATGTCTTATAGCTTATGCATAACGAGTTATGTCTTTAAGAGTATAACATTCATACTTGTATATTTTTGTTATAAATACACTCTTCTTTGTTTCTCAGTAAAACAGGATTTTAAAATATTAGAATTGTTAGAATTTTTGTTATTATTGGAATATTGAATATTTTTTGCCACTCCTGAAGCTTTCTAAAACTCATATCCTTCAGACACATAAAAACTCATACTTAAGTCAGTAAAAATTTGTGTCGATCACAAGTAGAATCTGGAAAATTTAAGCTTAAAGACGATACCGCTTATCCATGCCACTGAAATCGTTAATAATACTATCATTTATCAGCTTTTTATAGTTCGGATTCACCTTCGCAGATTTTCCAAAACATGCACTTTATGAATTTCGTATTGTAAAATAATAGAGCAGATAAACAGGAAACATTTAAATATGTAACTGTATATTGCATGTTCCAATTAAAGTAATTTTTGTTTCAAATCTTTAGCAAAATAATTAATAATAACCAAAATTATGCGCAAATTAAATAAATACACACAAAAAAATATCCAATGAAATTTCAAATTTGCACGCTAAATGTAATATAAAATGCATCCCAAAATACTCAGATAAATTCTATAAGTTTGAGTTCCCACTAATTACCTTCGTAAAATACCAGCATTTTGATGGTTTGAAAAAAAAAATTACATTTAATATACATGAAGTGTTTCTTCGGTTCCATAATTTTATGAATTAAAATTAATAAAAAAATATTCTCCAATATAATACATCAAGTAGCTAGAAATATTACAGATATTGAAAATATAATATCATCTTCTACAATAAAACGCACTAAAGAGTAACTTTTTTATTTCAGCCTCAATTACAGTTTCAGTGATAGATTAAAATACCAGAAAGCGATCTGTTTTACAAAAATTTTTGTAAGACGTTAACAATAATCGGTAGAAAAAAGTTAGAGAAATTTGACTGACAAACTTAGTTTAAGCAAAAATAGCTTATTTCAATTATTAACTATTATTGTAGCTAACTGTATTAACTAGATATATCACTTTCTGGGGTGAGGGGAGGAACTGAAAAAGAAGAGAAAGGATTTGTGACTTACATATATAGCCTAAGCTACATTCTCCAGATTATTTTAATAGCGATTTATCATTTTCATTTTATATTCATTTTAATAATACCTTCTTTACTGTACAATTAAATATAATTATCTTCATTTATCAGATTAAATGGTTTTATACAAGATATTTTATGGTACTCTTTTTCTTCAAACGTTATTTCTTCTACGGATGTTGAAAAGAAAATCACAAGATTTGAGTTATTTTGTATTTAATGGCTAAATAAGCTTGCATTTGCGGAGCAAGTAAATGACAGTAAATGGAATAAAGATAATTCATACTCTAAGAGTTCATATTCTTTATTTAGATATAAATATGGAGAGGAAAAAGGAAAGCCTATATACAGATAATTATGCAGTATATTTCTTATCCTTTCTAGACCATAATGATACAATAGCTTACTCAGAATTAAAATCTTAAACTTTTTATATCATAAAAAATTTCAAGGTGATTTTTTTCACTCAAGATCGTCTTATAAAATTATCAAAATAAGGGTGAATGATTATTATTATTATTATTTCAATGAAGTACGCGTCATAAAAATTTACAGCATGCTTTCGAAGCTAATTTCATAAATTATAGGACTATCTACTTCCGATTATCCAGAATAAATTAACCGAACTGAGGGTTTGCCGAGTTACGGATTAACTGTCCTAAAAGAAAGTTCGGTTTTTTTACTGTGGAACGAAGAAATCTTATTATTCCAAACATTTAACATAAAACGAAATTGTCTACGGAAAATGTCGAAGAAAAAAAGAAAGAAAAAAGAAAAAGTCAAATTCACCATTGACAGCAGAAGAGCCAGCTATATAACAGAATTTTTTTTTAATAATTTCTTCGTGTGATATAACATACAATTCATACTCAATAACAAATAAACAAATAATAAATAATAACACAGAGACTGTTAAAATTACACAGAGACTGTTGTTTAAAAAATAATCCTAGTTGGAAAACGAGACACATTTCCATGATAAATTACTAAAACTAGTTATATGAAAAGCATTATAAAAATAATAATAATTTCAGCTATTTTATTTTACATTCTGTATATTATATTGTGAGTCTTTTATGATCATGAATATTACTTTGAAATATATTCTTAAGCAACCATAAATATTCCTCAGCTTAGACAATTACAGAATACGCGAATTTTGTCATTAATATACATGAAAATATTACCTTGAAATATAATCAATACTTATTATATAAATATACCTTCTTTGGAAAAACCAAACGCAGTAAAATTATTATATACATAAAATTTGTTTTAGGAAACTAAAGCCCATAGTTAAAACATTGAAGGAAGTTCTTTTGAAGATTTATATTACCTGCCTCAGACAAGTGATGTAGCCTTGCAAGGTATAAGTTATTATGATCAAGTTGAAATTTAACGCAGAAAAACTTAATATCACTACTCATGGAGATAAAATTTAAAAAATGCTTGAATTTTGTCTCTAACTCCTTATCACAGAACAAAAGTTTTACTTTTAATTTATAAAAAAAGAAAAGAATCGATTAAAAATTATTCGTGGCCTAATTTGAAGTAGTTGAAATGTCATTGTTGTCATTGTTGGCTAAAGGGCTTTTGAAATCTTTAAAGAGATCGGCAATAAAATCTTTGAAATTGATGACTTCCATATTCTTGGCGAGTAGGAATAGAACGAACCAGTCTCCATAAGTTGTCTTTTTTATGATTGTCCGCAAGTGATCTCGAGGAGAAAGTCTAGCAAAAGAATGGAGTGCTAGATATCGGACTTCGCGAGAACACAGAAGTGCAACTTTGTAAAGTATAGATACTGCAGTGGCTACAGCCAGAATAATGAACCAGAACCATAGTAGTATGTAAATTTTCTCATTGACGATATTAAGAGGAAGTAGACACAAGGCGTCGTACTTCATAACATCACCTGATGGCCCATATCGATGAAAAGTACACTTAGTTAATCGAGGGAATACCCTAACCATGGGATCCATCCTTTCTTCTTGCGCACCAGTTGCAAAATGAAGTACATTCAATCCGTACGTGGTGAATTCTCCTCCAAGAAAATAGTCAACAAAATATATTTGCCCTGTAACATTCACTAAATTCATCAGTTCACAAATTAAGTACTTGTAGGAATAAGAAGAATGTTGACGCATGTTACATCGAAAATAAGTAACTAGTTGATCGCAGCACTTTTTCTTTTCACAGTGGGCTATAATAGGTGAATTCAACTTCTGCAACAAGTGCTTGAGACGTCCACCTTCCCAACTCCTCCAAACGAGTCGCGGAACATAAAATAGTGCAGCCTGGAATAGCAAAACGAAGCAAACCCATTGATAATACGCATGAAAAACTACTTCGTCTCCAGGATCGCGTTGGTCCACACCGGGATAGACAACCTCAACTCCAACTTCTTTTCCCAGAGCTTTAGGTAATGTAAACGTGCCTTCAACCCAACAGTATGTATCCAAAACCTTTTTCGGAACATCATCTGTTTGTATACATTGAATTGGATCCCCATAAAACTGAGTAGCTGAGACAAGCAGACTGCATACGGAAAGCAACAGTGCTGTTAGCCTGTAGTGAAGGCGAAATGTGGTGCCATCAATCACAAATATACGAGGTTTAATGAAGTTTTTGAACGTTCCAGAAAGGAAAAGTTTATCCATTGTAAAGATGTCGATTAAAACACTTACCTTGTTATTATAATTTAACGAAAAGGAAGGCTATTTTGTCTCCCAAACTTAGCTTATAGGAAACATTTATTCTGTAATTTCGTGTAGATAAGAAAATCCGTTGCTTATGTTTGCAGCAATATACACTTCTGTTGAGCACTTACAAGTCACTAAGCAACCAGTAAATTTATCAACTTATTTTCTGGTGCATAAATCGGACAATCAAGTCGCTAAAACTTTAAACACCAACTTGACATTTATATATGTTGAGAATGAACACTAACGCTGGTAGCACAGTTGAGCCTTCATGATAACACATTTTAATCTTCATTTTCACAAAACCAGTTCAGAGGATGCAATCAAAGAATGCCAACTAATATTCCTTCCTTTTCTTTCTTTCCTTTCTTCGTAAAATGAAAAGATTATATCATACTGACCAGACAATTCATTCCCACTTTAATTTTTTAAGGTATAATGAGAAAAACGACACTCATCAATGCGTAACATCTGAAGTTATTCTATATTAATACCAGGGATCACACTTGATTAAGAATTTCAGCGACGTTCGCGCATATTCAAAAAGTATCATTTAGATCTCTTAGCTGTACGTAACACCATCCACTTCTTCACTCACAAATCCGGTCAATGTTCCACCGTTGGATCTCTGACAGAAGTCATATGTTACGCTGAGCAGTCCCAGTTGGTGGGGATAGTTAAGGAATCGTCAAAATCTCCCGCTGAGATTAAAACGTTAGGCAATTTATTCCGAAAATGAGATTCCCAAGGATTAGATCACTTTCACAGACGTAGTTATCCCAAAACCTCCCTTCGTGGAGGCGAGGAAAAAAAAGAGCCGTCCGCCCACCTGAACTGTCATTATATACTTCTCCGACTCTTTTCCGTCCCACCTAAGTATAAAAAGAACGGGTTTCATTCTTTGTTCAAAGAAGCCAATCAACGCGGCCTCATTCTATGTAGGTATTGTCGGGCTGCGATACAAGGTCATGGTTTGCGTGGTAGTGGAAATGTTCGGCCCTCGTATTACGTAGTACGTACACAAAGCCGGACACACTACACGCTTTTGGTCACGCATGCTCTGGCCGAAAGATGCGCGCAAACCCATGCCACGATCTTTCGTGCCATTTGCAGGCGTCCAGCTGGAACATGTGCCGAAGGAAATGTTACGGAACAGTACGGTAATAATCGGAGATCAGGTGTTATGGAAAGAATGGGGAGAAATATGTAGCATCAAAAGATTTAACTTTCTAATTTCGAGAAGAAATTTATGCTGAAAATTCTACTGCCTAAAATCCTAATGGATTATTCACATACTGATTTTTCGGGAGATTGAAGCGATTTTAAATAAAAGTTCAACATCCTTATTCACTGCAAAATGAAAGTAAATAGAAAATGAGTAATGCAGAATTGGTCTCAATATCTGCACAAACGACTATTAAAGAAAAGAAAAAAAAAAAAGATTATGTTTGGTGAACAAAGAAAACATTCAAAAAATATATTTGATAGTATTCAAATACAAACAATGGTTCTACCATTTATCTGGTGAAAAATAAAGCTTAGTTTAGATTATAATTATTACTACAGAAAAACTATATTAAAAATTCGCATTTTAAATAGTGTATATTTAAATCACGAAACATTTTTCTGAAATCAATGATTTAGCATTATTTTATTCGTGACCTTATTTTCTTTGATATAATATATTACTGTAATTTATTTTCTTTAATTAAATTTGATAATTATAAATCATAAAATTATCTCAATCTGCAGGCTCCAGAACTTCCAAATGAAATTAAAACTATGACTAATAAAATGATCTTGTCATCTGAGGGGGTTTATCATACTGTGATAAAATGTCGCAGGTTTCCCACTGAGACACCAACTTTTAATTTCTCTGGATTTTTCATGAGCAAACGGAACAATTTCCTTGACAAACTAATAAATTTATAATCAAATCAAGTGTAAATAATGCAATTCTTTTATGCATTTACTGCAAAATATAATTAAATATCTGTGATAAAAATATAATCTATCTTATTTATCATTACGAAGCAAATAGAGAAATACATGCAGGCAAAATGCAATTAAGTAACCCCCCCCCCAAAAAAAAAAAGCCTGTGATTTTTTTTTCTCTTAATATGAAATGTTGGGGGAAAACTTGCGAAGGAAATTTATAAGAGTAATAAGTAGAACTTTTATGGTGTTTCAGTCTAAATCATAAAACTAAGAATTGCACTGGATTTTTAAAAAAGTATTTAATGAATAAAGTTCTTTACTATTACATCAATTTATTAAGAGATAATAGCGAATCTTTTAAATTAAATCTCATTCATATGTTTCTTGTTTAATTTAATTTTAATTTCAGGTTAATGCGGAGTCCTTTATTCCATTTCTTGATTTCATTAATGCTGTGAAAATATTTCTTCAGGAATCTTGCTTTGAAAACGAAAATTTTTACCGAAGAACTTACCTTTGAGTACTTTTTTGAAAGATTTCTCATCAAGAAAATAATATTTAAAGAATAAGTCAACATCTAAAAAATGATCATCCCCCTTGATCTCGTGAGTAACAGATGTTTTTCAGTAAAATTAGCATAAGATAAACCATTTTACTCTGGATATTTGTCATGGAGTTTGTACAACAATCACGTATGAAAAAAAGAGTTGCATTTTGTAAAAGGAAATATCAATTATATCAATATCAGATTCATATCTGTCTTTAATAAAGTATTTTAAATGACATCATTATGAATTCAGATTCATTTATTTGCTTTAAAAATGTAGCAATATAATTTTAAAAAAACTGAGGAATTTAAAGAAGTATAACACAGCATTTATGATAACTAATATGATTTGTCACTACACAATAGTAGTAGTAGTATATCTTATCCACAACAGTAGTATACCTTATCCAGTCATATTTTAAACGTTAAGGAGACAGTATCATTCAGATAAATATGATAAATGAATTTTTTCCAAAATGCAAAAATTTCATAGCTAAAGATGTCAGATTAATAATAATGCATAATCAATATTAATTGTAAAAATGATTTTCATTATTTGAAATTCCCTTTCTTAAAGTATAAATGCATAGTTAGTTTTTACTATCGCTTCAAAAAATACACCATTATATTTAATTATTGCGAAATATTTTTGCAGGCTATGAAAACATACTTTTAAACAATATTGAAATTTTACTTCTTTTTAAAAGTGATGTTTCAGTTTGCGTGCTTTAGCGTAATATATTTAATTACTATCAGTGATTTTAAAAGTAAGAAAAAACACAACTACGATGCTACTGTAAAAGAAGAACCTGTTTCAGTTTTAATTCTATCTCGGCAGAGTGGATAAAAGGATTGCCCTCAAAATGTTCAAAAACCACCTCACCGGTGACCGAGTGGTTAAGACACCCGAATGCTCAGAGTTTTAATGCCGAACGAACCGGCCGGGCATCACAGCTGGTTTTTGTATTTCCTCCCGTGTTTTATATTAATACAAGCCAGTTTTCCCCAGGAAGTTCTCTTCGAAGGCATCTCTGCCTTTAGGAGGTAGCTCTCGTGTTATTTGCCATATTTAAATAACCTATCCAAACCAATCAAAAATTATATTTTTGTCTAATTTTAAATTCTATATAAGTGCGTTTCTTTTCTAATTAGATTATCAAGGATCGCTAGGTATCAAAATTTTAGAAAGTGATTTAAAGAGGAGTATTTGGTAGAAAAAACATCTGACTGATATGATTCTGATATTACGCTTTGGAAACTCATTTTATTTGAGTAATGCATCCTTATCAGAATATTTAAGTGAACTGTATATTATTACTTTAAACAAAATATAGCATTTTAATCGTACCGTAATTTGCATCGTAAGAATGCATAGTGCATGCTCAATTCGCATCTTTAGCTAATACAAACAATATCATTTTACGGAACGTAAAGTATTTAAATAACTCATTTTTAAGCGAAAATGCAAACCCTAGTAAAGTTTCACCGAATCTCATCCAACAATTAGTTAAAATAATAATAATAATCGCAAATATTTAAAATTGCATGCTTAGTACTCACAAATTCCGGACAACAGGAAATTTAGTTCCATTGTTGTTGAAAGCGTCACAGTCGGAAACACTGCCTTGGTACGTTCCTATGCAAAAGAGAAATAAATATTTTTTAGAATGAAAAATATACATTAAAGTGGTTTCATGTAGCTTTGAATTCCAGTTGAAAAGTTATAAAAACCAAATATTTTAAAATTTCAAAAATTTTTCAAGCCATCATCAGAAATGCCCAAGAAATAAACAAACCGAAGGAATCACACACAGAAGCGTACAACCCTTACAGCGGAACTTTTTAATACAGATTTTTATTCGTTATTTCTATTAAAATATTAATATGTGTATTAATATTTTAATAGTATAATAATATTTTAATAAACTAATATTTTAGTTAATTATTAATATACATCTGGAAATTAAATTTGCGCTTATATCTCTCGTTACGAATTTCATGAATCAATGATACGCTTTTTCTGAAATATGTCAAATGAGCTAAATGATGAAAAGCCCAAACCGGATTTCGAAAGTCATTTAAATAAATTATTAGATTCCATAAAAATAGAAATGCTGATTTTTAAATTATTTGTATCTAACTATTTTATTAATAACGTAATACATAATAAATAAAAGTGAAACATAATTGAATACATTCTAAAATCAATTCATATATAAAACGTATTGTTTTATTAAGAGACTTGAATAATATTTTTCTCTCATATTTAAGGTATGCATACATAAAGATATACATATATAAATCAAAGATATGTATATGTAAACTATTCATATATGTATACCTTTGATGCAATGGTAAATTTTTAGAAAGCTGTTTTTAAAAATTTTTCTATATTTTGGTAGAGTACGGTATGTATTTATAATGTCATTTAGCCAAATATTAAGCCTGGCCTTTTCTAGGGCATCCAAGCACAAAATAGAATACAAATATATTTCCCAAATATTTAATGCCAAGTATGCCAGGTTGAAGATGCGGTTGCAACAAAGGCACTTATGAAAAGAAAGACTGGTTTCTGATTTAGATTTATTAAATTATGACAAGACACTCGGGTGCCACCTGCCTAAGGAATAGGGAAGGGCTTAGGGAAGTTACCTCTTCCTTAAGGTAGAAAGTTGGTTATAATGTACTTTGCCATAATTGACTAGCCAAACAGAACTTAGAGCGATAATAAAGCAAATCGCTGCAGAAATTAGAAAAAGATGCGTAAATATTGAGTTCTTGAGTAAATCTAAAACTCACTGGTTTTATGAGAGTTAAAATAAAGTACAAAAGTTGAAAGTAATTACATGCTAATGAAAATATATTAAAAATTATGCTTAATATTTGTAAAAGTTTTGAAAGAATGATGCTGTCCTTCATCACGTCCTAAATGGAGTTTCGGAATTGTTTTCTTATGTATATAGAGATAAAATTATGAAGGTTTCAATAATTATTCTCTAAATTAAATCAAAGAAATCTGTATATAAATGCTAATAAAATCCAATGTATGTTAAAAAGTCGAAAAAAATAATTATTTGGAAATAATTAAAGATGTCAAACTGAATCAAAAGCCAAGGTAATAAAGTACACTGGGCACAAAGAATATGAAAAGTATACAAACAGAATAAAAATAAATTAATTAAAAACGTATTCAAGATCAAAAATTATAATTAAATACAAACAAATTTTATTATTTCTTATTTATTACAAGCAGATATTTTAAGTTCTTGTGATTCCTTTTAACTTTTTTAATGTGGGAACAGCAGAAGAAAAGTAAAATCTTAGACTAAAATTAGTTAATGAATTTTTCTTGACATTTTGAGGTTAAATTTATCATGGGTAGTATAATTATATTCATTTAGGAAAGGGACTAGATGGAAGATTTCTTTCAAGCAGAAATGTACTTAGAGGCTGATTCACAAATCGCACAAATAACAAATACGAGAGGTCCACGTTGCAAGGCGCCCACAGACAACATTTTATATTCATAGAATATCAGTTTAAAATTATAAAAAAATAGTAAATATACTCTGTGTCTGAAGATGAGATCTGACGCAGATTCTGGTAAGATGAGTCTCTAATTTCATAAATCCACTACTCAATATGGATTAAAATGAATCCTGTTTAAGACAATCACTGATGGTTCCAAATAATACTGATCTTCTATCGTTCTATGGATCATTGATGTTTAGTGCAGATCTTTGTTTGCGGTCACAAAAGTATTGGTCACTCTCATATGTGATCGATTTAGAGAGATGGCTGCCATGAAGACCGTTTACTGCATATAAAAAGTTTTGGTACTTTTCTGTTAACGGGCGCAAGTCGCCAAATGTACGCCAAATTTTAAAATGTGGTATTCTTTTTTATCGGGTAATGGAAAGCTGTGAAATGTTTAATGTGCGTAATATCAAGGCTGTGAGCAATGCCGATTTTTTTTTTTTTTTTTTTTTTTTTCAGATTTGTGATGGTTTTTTAAGCGAAAAAAGATCTTTGTGTACATGGATAGAACAACAATTTTTTTGACCGCCCAGTCGGTATAGTGATTAGCGTCGTTGACTGCCGTGCCAAGGTTCGAAGGGCCAGGGTTCGAATCCCGAAGAAGGCGTGGATGTTTGTAAATGTATAGCGTCGGTGCAGCATGGCGGCTCTCTAAATATGCCGCGAGCCGAAAGTCCTCTCGTGTGGTTTGGTGGAAGGGGAGAGGGGTGGGAGACCCTCGGAACCGTACCCCCCCCCGGGGTGCTCTCCTTTAAAACTGGGGATGAAACTGAGCCAAATCGCACTGTCACCTGTTAGTTGCTGAAGGATGTTGCCAACGACAGGCATAATATAGCGTTCCTTGCCGCGAGGAATTTCGTGGGCTTGAACAGACTACGTCAGACAAGTGAGCATTAGCAATAATTTTAAGGAATTAGATTGCTATGTACAAAAGGAGGGGAACAATGATTTTCCCCATGTACTCAGAATTTCGGCATCGGGCACTAATTCGCCATTGAGCACAGCCGCGCTATCATTCCGATACATGACTGTTGTTACAAGTTCGTTTTTTTCCATGAAGATTCCATGTCAGGGTTGCCGCCATTTAGTTAGATTCCGCGCTAACGTTTACGTTTGAAGCTAAGTGGAATCCCCATCAACAGATAAGCATCAAAATTTTCCTCATAATCTATATATATTTCCTATAAATCAATAGGGGCATATTTTGGTAAACCTATGTCAATAAGTCTTGTGAGCATTTTGCATACAGATAGCCTAGCTACTTAAATTAAAAAAGTTTAGTGAATACTTATAGTTCCCCTGACAGATACCAACATGAAAGTGCAGCATTTTATTTTTGTAGGATATGCATAGTTGTGCCGTGAAAGAAATTGTAAAACCTTATAAGGCTCATTTGTGTTAGCGATCATCGCTACTTCATGCATCCTAATGAATTTCCGTACATATAATCATTGTTATTCTCATCTGCATTTGTAAGTAAACGAATATTTCATCTCTGGTGTCTTTAATAAATCATTATTTTCTGTTTTTGAGCATAAAATAGCCAAGGTAAGAGTCAAGGTATCATGACAGATAGTAATGGCGGAGAAAAAAATAAGATGATAAGCAAAAAAATAAGATGTGACTGTTGTCGGTCAGCAAACAACCCATTTCAGCTAATTTTAATTAACATCAAAATAGAAAAATACTTTATGATATTTTTTATTAATTTCTGTGCCAAATAACTAAATACTCTTAGTAAGCTGGATGCACATTGTATATCAGTTCAATGATACAGAGTTGCGTTATCAGAACATCACTCAGTTAGCAGACAAAGCGTCATTAAAGAAAGCGGTAAACAGCGGTCTTTGTTCTACTGACCTGTATGAGGGAATGGATTAGAAAAGAGAACTTACTTCCATCTCGAATAGTTATTTCCAGCTCCACCACTTGCCCCAATAGGACAGTATCAACAAAGATATCGTTCTCGAAGTCGTAAATGCGCAACATCACTTCTGGGCCAGGAGATGGAGAAGTCATCGTGGGACCTTTATTCTGAGAGCCTCTGAAAATAGGCAAAAGCAGTAGAAAAATTATACTGTTGGAGTAATAATTTGAAGCTTAACACAAAATAAGCATCATTTATTCGCATGATATCAATTATCGAAAATATGCACTTTTTAATTAAGAATGTTCGATTTCAAACTTCTGAAGTTTATCATTTATTCTTCCAAATCATGGTTTACTAATCTTTCTTGATTTTGCCGTACCCTTACGGAGACTTTTTCTCAGTGGTCCTTTGCTCTTGCAACGATGTTATATTAGATGTCGTTTTTAGAGTGTAATCTGTAGATGCTGATTGAAAACAGTTAAAATAATAACATGTTAGTTATTTATCGCATGTCATCAAATTATTGATTAAAACTTATCACGCAATATGGAAGCGGATAACGGTTAAATTATTTCTCAAAACAGTTATAGCAATTAACTTGATTGGGCATTCATAATTTCCTGAAAAGATTTATGTAAAAGGGAGATTGACATAACTGGATATAATTTTTTAAAGATATGTGACTGTTTTATTTGTATAACCAAGTGCCTCCACCGCCAAGGAACTTTTAAATGCTATCTTTCCCACAGATGATACACAAGCAGATACTTCAGAACAGAGGCAAATTAGAGAAGATACAAGCTCGCCATGCACACTGAACGATATACAGTTTTCTGCACAGGAGATACGTAATATCTTCCGGTATCTGCCACTAAAAAAGGCCCCGGGTCCAGACGGACTCGATTACGCAATTATCAAAGTTGCATATCAGGCACGACCATCCTACTTCCATAAATACTACAACCAGCTTCTGCATTATAAAATATTCCCCACAGCTTTCAAAAAAGGCAATGTGGTATTATTTTTAAAAAAAGGATAAAGACCCCCTAGTATCGAGTTCCTTTAGGTAAATTTGCCTTCTATTGGCGATGGGAAAGATCTACGAGAAGCTCATCGTCAACAGGCTAAAATTTCATCTACATCAATACCAAAACATTAGCCCAAGACAATTTGGCTTCAAACAAGGCAGTTCTACCACTCCTGCCCTGCAGCGAATCTATGAAGTCATAATTCAGAACAAATCGCAGGGCTACCAGACGGCTTTTATATCAATAGATTTGCAAAGTGCGTTCGATACCCTCTGGTGGCCTGCCATCAGGCAGGCCCTCAGAGAGGCAAGATGCCCAAGAAATATCTATCAAGTTCTGGACAACTATCTGGCAGACCGGCAACTGATGATCTCTAACGACAGTAGTACTGTTTCAATAACACAAGTGAGAGGATGTCCACAGGGGTCCTGTGCAGGGCCTCTGCTATGGAACCTCACCTTTAATAAAGTCTTAGAGGCAAGGTGGCCACAACATACTGTGTTAGTTTCATACGCGGACGACGCGGCATTATGGTCAGAGGCCGCACACGCGCTGAGCTTGAAGCCCATGGCAGTGAGTCATGCACTATCTTTGTTAACCTCTGCGAAGAGCTAAAACTCAAAATATCCACCACAAAGTCCACTGCTATCATCTTTCCAAGAAAGGGTACAAATCCAACACGTAGCCCATGTATCAAACTACAAGGCCGGAATATTAAGGTCGTAAAAACTTTAAGATACCTTGGGGTAATATGGGACCCAGGTCTGACTTGGCTTCCGCATATCCAGGCACAAAAGATTAAAAACATCTGCAATTGCCAGGAGATCACGACAATTCCAAGGCCGGAACTGGGGACGGAATCCCCACATTCAAAAGGTACTTTATAAAACTGTAGCTGAGAAGGTGGCACTCTATGCGGCAGCTATATGGGCACAACCCATGACCGCGCGCAAGGTTAAGCAACTCCTATCACTACAGCGCCCATTCGCCATAGGCTTATGCAGAGCCTATCGCACCACTGCAACTTATGCAGCACTCACCTTGGCAGGCATCATACCACTTCATATCCAAGCGGAGCTAGAGGCCACATATGCTAAAATAATACATCTACAGAAAGACGCAACCTTTGCAGGCACCTTACATAGCCCTGCAAATTACGAACATCCATGTACTCCTCTCCACACGCACCCAGCACACAAGGGACTTGGCATTCACACTATCCTCAAACCGTCACGAAGTCAACCAGAAGGAAACTCTAATATGCACGCGTTCTACACAGATGGCTCGAAAACTGCTGAGGGTGTAGGTAGTGCCTTTATATACTACAGGCAAGGCCATGCTGCACACCATTGGAAAGGGTACCTCAATCCAAATAATAGCATTTTTCAAGCAGAAGTAGTTGCCATAACAGCTGCCTTTGAATACGTGGCACTCAACAACATCACACATGTGCAGCTTTATACAGACAGTATGTCGACACTGCTTGCTCTTGACAAACATAGTCACGCCTCCTCGCTGATCATACGACTGCAGCATATCCTAAAAGATAATCGGCACTCACATGTTGACCTAGTATGGATTAAAGCCCATGCAGGTAACATGGGTAATGAGACAGCGGATGAACTCGCTAAAGGAGGCTGCTTCGAACCAAAATGCCAGACCGATATCAGTATCAGCACCACCATCTTTCCTCAAAAGTCAACTGCGAAATGCCGCTATCCAGTGGTGGCAAAGAGAATGGGATCAGGGCGACACGGGAAGGAGAGCGCATAGCTTCTTGCCAAAAGTAACCACGGAGCGCCTTATGGCAATTGCTCCCCTTACCAACTTCATTACTGGTTCATGGTCCCTTCCCGGATTACTTCTACCGCCGCACCATCTCAACCACGGATCGCTGTGTTTGCGGGGGGTGGGGTCACCGGACCATTATATCTTTCAGTGCCCACTCACGGAACAGTTCCACTTCCCGATACCAGCCAATATCTCAGCATTTCACAAGTTCCTAGCCAAAAACAGAGCGGCCATAAATAAAATCTGCAAAATAATAACCACCATTGCAGCATATGGCCAGGACCTCTGTCAACCAGAGTAATATGGCTTACATGCATTACTTGCACTGACATATGCACTCTAATGCTCTACCATCTAATCTCTGACTGCATAGGGAGCAGAAGAAAATTGAACACCATTTTTAGGTGTTTAATTTTCTTCTTTTGTTATAACCTATTAAGTTTTTTTTTTTTTTTTTTTTTTACCGTGCCTGTATGTTAATTCAAATGTACTTCAAATGCCAGATGTTAAACAGTTGCCCCTGTACGGCCATGTATCCACACTTATAACTATTAAATAAACTCCAGGGGAGGACGCGGGACATATGCCTGTTAACCTCTGTTAAACTTCAGGCGTCCCCGTTCTCCGTCACCTGTCACCTGTATAACCAAGTGAATATTTAAATGATTGTTTAAGAAATATTCAGGTAACATAATTTTTCAAGCATGGTCTTACTGATGCAAATTTACTACTCAATGCCTGTTTACTGCTCCTCGGACCAGTACTGCACATAAATCTTAAACCCCAAGCTAGGGAATTATATTCTAGATTTAAAAAAAATCTTAAACTTGAGGCCTATAAATATCAATGTTAAACTATACTTATATAAACGTACCTCAAATCTATATAACAATGTTATTTTATAGTCGTGACAATATCCTTTATTGAGGATTGTTACGGTCAATTAATAAAATAAAATAAAAATATACTTTTTTATTGTAAAATGTCGGTAAAAATGTGTTTGAAAATAAAGTACAAAGAAATAATAATTCTTTAAATTAAGATGTATAGTTTCCTTTAAATTGAGATAATAACACCTGCTGTGTGTGCTTTTCTTTCTACATTTAGTGATGACATTATGCAATATTTCAGGACGTTTCTTAATCTCAGAAACAATACACTATGTGTAAGTATAGAACTGATTGAACGCCTTTTGTAAATCCATGACTAGGCTTATTTTTATTATTTTAGTTTATAACATTAATTTTTATTACATTTTTTTACTTTTATTATTTTGTTTATGATGTTTACACTTATTATTTTTATTTATAACTGATTTTACATTTATTATTTTGATGATACTAATTGCCTTTTTCCTTTACATGTGGAAAGCTACAAGGGAAGCCAAATTTCAGGACAATAAGAGCCCCACGTTTGGATTCAAGAAATTTTGAGAGTCGCAACTAGATTTTGTGAGTCACAATATCCTATTTGCATCGTTTATAAGCAACGAAGTAGATTTTCATGAAATGTTTGAGGTAAATTAATAAAACGTTCGCATTTTTTTTTGTAAGTAAAGTCCATATAAACATGAACTAGAACTTTATATGGTACTTTCTCTCTCTTTCCAGCACTCCTGTGTGGTGTACCGTTGCACATTCGGCGCATATTCGGGAAGTCCTGTTTCGAGTCCCGGCGACAGCATTGCGCATTTTTCTTGTCTCCTGCTTCAAAGAAAAATAAAGACTCTACAGCTTTAATTTTTCCTACTATATTAGGAAAAATTTGTTTCACGATATACAGATTTGAAGCTATTGAAATAATGCAACTGAACATACTTTTTTCCAGACAGAAAAGCCAAGCAAAAGATTTTCTTCCTTTCTCCTCTCTTTTATCATTGTTGAATAAGCCGTAATAAAATTATAGTGAAATCGAAAGGAGGAATTATATTGGTCTTTGTGAGTACGAATACTCAATTTTTTTTTTTTTTTTTTTTTTTATGTAATTAAAGAATAAAGCACTAATTTGAAAAACAGATCTAGTACTTGTTCTTTATTTTAACTTACCCGCATTCCTCTGAAAATGACACAGTGCGCACTTACAGAGAAAATGCTATTCCAAAAAGTTTGTTTGAATATGGCAAGGAACACTAGGCAATTTATTTTTTCCGATACGCTTAATGTGAGGACCAATGTACTGAGATTAAACCTAGCTCTAAATATTTGCCTTAACTCTGTAGATGCTAACTGGATTATCCACTGCACTTTTTTTAATTTTTATTTTTATTTTTATTTTTTTATTTATTTATTTTTTTTTTTTAAGATTAGTCACTCAAATCCTCAGAACCTTCGAATCTAGAAAGATATGAACTTCCAAAATTTGAATCTTGGAGATATTGTTATTTGTTTATATTATTTATTTATTTATTTTCTTATTATTCGAATCCTAAATAAAAAAATCTCCGAACGTTTTTAACGCAAAATTTCAGAAAAATTATTTTATTAGTTCATTTAAAACATTAATGCGATTATTACAATTTCTAGGATACCTGAAACACAAAATTCACCCCGTGACGGCCCTGTCTGCCACACTGCTTTTTTATGTGATCCAACGAATCTGCCGAAATTCTTACTCTAGTAATTGGAGGGTATTGTAGATAACCTATTAAAAATAACTCTTGAATTTTTCTACGATCTTGGTACACAAACGCTGTGGCGACGCAAATGTGACTCCAGTTATTTATTCACTGTTCAACAATGGCTGCTCCATTTGTACGCTTCAGCTGTGGATGCTGCAGTTGTACTATTCAGTTTTACAATTCAGCGTGACTCCAATTATATGGTTGCTGAATTTTAAATTGTAAATAGCCCACCAGCGGCCGAGCGGTAAAGACGCTGAACACTGGTAGTTCGGTCCGAGGTTCGAATTCCGCGAACGGGCTGGCTGCATGGGCATTTTCGTGGTTTTCGATGTGTAATGTGATACGAGGGGTTTCTTAGAATCCTCCAAGAAGAATCCCTCCTTTAGGCAGATAGCCCTCGTGTGCTTTGCCCTAATTGAATAATCTTATCTATTAAATTGTAAATAAAATATGAGCTGTTACTCTAATGTGTTTATCAAACTAAATTAAGAAATTGAACTTTAATATTCAAGAGTTTAACTACTTATATCATTCACCAAATTTCCTTTGCATCTTTCTAATAAACTAAAATTTATTTGTAAAAAAAATGCATTCTTCATATTTGGTTTTCCTTAAACTTATAAGGTATTTCTCCCACTTTCCTAGCGTGCCTTCGTGGTGTAACGGTAGCACGCTGGGCAGATATTCCAGGTCGTGGTTCGATTCTCGGCGAAGGCGGTTGCATATCTTTCATCTTTTCTGCTTCCAATTAACCTAATGACTCTACAAACTCAGATTTCAAACTTGATTTTATTTAAAAACTTTCAACACTATGCAAACGTTTTTATCATTTTTCACCTTATAATTTTATTTGAAGGATTCGAGAAATCTGATATTCGAAAATTTTTCAGAATTCTGATTTAAATTCAAAGTAATTCAAGTTTATACTTACCTAATTTTTAAGTTCCTTTTTATCTAATCCTTAATTTTTTTCAGTGAAAATTAAAAACGTTTCATATTCGTAATACTGCTCTGCAAGATTTCAGGTACATCAATGTAATTGCAATTTATATAGCATATGTGTATAGGTTAATTTAAAATATTTTTCAAAAACAGCAATATTGCAATTTGAGAAATGCAGTCTGAATGAAATTTCCTTCCTTCCAAGTGTCTATTTGGTCAGGAAACCACCGATTAGGGAAATAAAAATAAAATTTCATGATCTAAGTGTTACTGAACGGTAGAATAGATCAGTTAAGGAAATTTCACACCAATGTTCTTTCCAAAATTTCTTACTGAAGGTCTATTTTAAATATATATGTGAATCAAGTTTTAATATAATGATGAGTATATGGAAGATTCAATATAAAATATTGTGCACGTCCGTGTCGTAAGTTGGATGCGGATGTCATTCTTATTATTCTAGAGTCCATTTGAAAGCGAATGAAAGAACTGTCAGCTAAATAATAAAATATTTCATCATCTCTAAAATATTTTATAGCGAACAAAACAGAAAGAAGAATATCAAATGTATTTAAATATCACGAATGTTAAAAATATTAGCTGAAGAATGAAGAATTCTGCTGTTTGTACATAGATGAGTATACTTGTTTCCCTGTATTTATATATTTTTCCTTAAATGTAGTTTTCATAAGCTATGTCATATCCTTCGGTTTAAGCTTATCTGATGTTCGAATAGCTGGATTTCAGATTTGAAGGTGCCTCCAGAAGTCTTTAGTCAATTTTGATATGCCTCTACATAAGCTGTAACAAATCTTACATTGATTCCTGGTAACTCTTGACGGCGGGGCGAGTTGCGTGCATTTGTAAATCTTAGCCGAGGGTTCGAAACAAAAGCAAATTTTCAGGTGAGGTGTTTAGAGTATGTCATTTGGAAGCGATGAAAGTCTGAAGCGATATCTCCGAGAAATTATGATTGAAGGAAATTAAACCTTCTATTTTAAAACTGAAAGTTTAGGTTGTAGAGACATTAGGTGTTTTTTCGAAGCAGGCAAGATGAAAAATATGCAACGTCTTCGCCGAGAATCGAACCGCGGACATCTCAATTACGCGCTG